GGGTGGGGGGGTTCAGGGCAGAGGTGTGGGGGGGTGCAGGGCAGAAGACTGGGGTGCTCGGCTTGTGGGGGTGCTCCCAGCCCCCTGCCTTGAGCAGCTCAGGGCAGGGGGCTGCAAGGGATATGTCCTGTTCCACCCCCTTCCCCCAGGCTCCGTCCCTACCTCTCTCTGCCTCCTCTACGGAACTGTGGGCATGCTGCCGCTCTTCCCCCTCCCCCTCGCTAGGGCCATCAGCTGATTGGCCAGGGATGGAGAGGAGGAGGGGCAGGAAAGCACCACGATGGGGGAAGAGGCTGGGGAGGGAGGAAGCTTGGCTGTGGCAGGACCAAGCTTCTGCCTTCTGCCCCCGCAGGGGAGAGCGGTAGGCGGGGGGTCTGAGTGAGGCTGGGACCGCGGCAGGGAGCTGCGTGCCACTCAAAATCGGCTCGCGTGCCGTGTTTGGCACGCGTGCCATAGGTTGCCGACCCCTGCGCTAAACACTGACTCATCTAAGTCTTGCATAAAAAACATTTGATTTTTAAAAATTTGTTTACAGAATACAACGGCAAGTTTAAATATTATTTAAGAGGCAAAGAAACAGTAGATTAGAAAAGTAGCATATTCTAGACAGTTAACCGTGAAAAAAAACAAAGAGAATGTAGTTTAGACTAGCATTCAAGACAATGTTCACGACATTCTAGTCCAGGGGTCGGCAACCTTTCAGAAGTGGTGTGCTGAGTCTTCATTTATTCACTCTAATTTAAGGTTTCGTGTGCCAGTAATACATTTTAACGTTTTTAGAAGGTCTCTTTCTATGAGTCTATAATATATAACTAAACTATTGTTGTACATAAAGTAAATAAGGTTTTTAAAATGTTTAAGAAGCTTCATTTACATTAAATTAAAATGCAAAGCCCCCCCCCCCCCCCCCCCCGGACCGGTGCCCCCCACCCGGCCCGTGTGAGTGCCACTGAAAATCAGCTCGCGTGCCGCCACCGGCACGCGTGCCATAGGTTGCCTGCTCCTGTTCTAGTCACTCAAGAAAGCATGACTAGTGACTAAGGTAGCTCTTAAATTCACACTATATACAGGTTATATATGTGGTATACTTATGGGAAGCTTTACGCATCCCTCAAGCTTGGAATGTTCTCTTCTGCCTCATTCAAATCACTCCTTAAAATTCACTTCTGCAATATTTATCAGAACTGAGGGGAAGGTAGAAAAGATTTTTTTTAAATAATACAGGTTTCAAGATGTGTTCATGCCTCACTGGTCCACATAACTGTACGTAATTGGCATTGACCTTTCCTTTCCCCTTCTCTTGATTCCCCCATACACTGTCACATCAAACTCAGACTCTTTAGATATAGGTCCATATCCGTAGTTCTTTCTGTGAGGGGACAGTACATTTTGGGAGCTTGAAAAAGTAATTACAACTGCATGGATGTGAGAGATTTAAGTAATGGGAAACCATCAACTTGAAAAAAGCAACAGAGGGTCCTGTGGCACCTTTAAGACTAACAGAAGTATTGGGAGCATAAGCTTTCGTGGGTAAGAACCTCACTTCTTCAGAT